ATGTATGCATTGCACATTGCAGCATTTAGACATCTCCCCATTACCACGTGGTCTGGTACTCCCCGCCTCTAAGTTGTCACCCATCGCGCCAATAAAGAGAAAAGGCGCCTGCAGAAAGTATCGTCACAAAGAGCGGAGGAAAAATGTGTCAATCACTGTGACACCTCCAACAGCTTGCTGTGCTTGCAAACCCAAACCTCGGTTGGAAAATACTTCGAATTTGAGGGACCCCGCAAGTGTGGCATAACTGTTGGAGCCTTGCCATTGGAACAATCCCGCGTGTTAGGAACCATCGTTAAAGAACTTGTTCAGAAACCATCAAGAATCTGCCAGGTTTCATCACTCAACCATTTCACAATTTCGTCCAACCCTACTTGGTGACCTCGCAAAGGTATTTTCAATTCATGAAACCCTCCAAGACCTGCAATGTTCTGTTCATAGTTTGTGGAACATTCATGAGTCTGGCAGACATTCATTCCTATTTAGAGGCTCTATGAGAATTGTTTGAGGGACAGGGGGGCATAATTACTTTCCACAATGGTGAGACGCCGTTGAATCCGCGATTATTTTTCAACACCCAATCCTTAACGACAACGACAATTATTTTCCCTATGGTTTGGATATTGCATTCTAATCCTTGATTTTTACAAATAAATATGGATTGAGAAAACAAATGATCGATTGACCAACGTCTGCACAATGGTGGCCACACCTCCTGCTCGGGAGGTTGCCAGGGGCATCTTCAAACACTCATTTTGCATATTTAAACTTGCTGAGCTGTTTAGTTACAGTATGTTACAGTAAATCTCGTCTGGTCTTGCAGTTGCACTTGCTTCCAATCCGCAAACACCTCTTCAGCACAATGATAGCGCGCCACGTGTAGCCAGTGCGCCAAGACCTCGTCGACTGTCTGTCGCCTCGACAAACTTTTTCAGATGGTTCTATCATAGGTTGTGTCACACATTGTGTCAGCTATGTTTGCTATGTCGGTTATGTGTTGCATCGCTGCATCTCTGTGGTTGAAGGATGTTCAAAGTTGGTACTTATTTTGGATTGTTGTTCAAGGAGTTCATCTCCTTATCACGAGGCACTCGAGTGGCATGCTTATTTCCGGACACTAGTTTGATAAGTCTCGGAAATTGAACCATGTCAAGCCTAAGTACCAAAACTAGTCCTTATGCAAGAATCGTCCACCTACTTTGGTTGTGAAGGGTGCTGCGCACTGCTTACTGTGTGTGGCACGCAGTAGTGTCATGGGATTTATGCAGAATATATATATATGTATATTATAGCATGTGTATGTATATTGTGTCATATTCTCGAAGTTTGCGGTTCGGCAACGGATCCTCCATAGCATAATATACCCCAGCCCTCAACATCTAGCCGACAAACCTTCTGGTAACCACAACCCCAAACAACCTCAAAATGATGTGCCTCCCACGGAATTGAAACAAACGCATCGACAGCATAACAGACCTGCTATGAACTCAACGACACTACCCCGGCACTGCCTAAATCTTCAAAATGTCTATTCAAAATGTCTACAGTGCTACGACCTTTGAGTCAGCAAAGAGAGCGAGAAATGAACACCTGCACACACTCCAAAACACTCCATGGCATGGACCCATTTCGCAGCCCCTGCTAGCACGCGCATGTGCTCACAGGAACAGGGCAGCGGCACCTAGTGCAGTCCATGACAAAGATCACAGCATCGCAGCCATCAGCAAAATGTTTCCTCAGTTGCGCATGGGTGAAGGCGACCTGACCTGAAGATTCACCCGGTCCACGTTTAAGCCCTACTGATACACTGAGAGGAGGAACAACGTTTTTTTACAAATGTGTTGCCCTACCTCAGTACTTCTTGGATTTTTATATTGGAGAGCTCACACATTGTTGCAGCATTCACAATTCTCACTGACATGATTAAGCCCTTGGCAATGCATAGGGACAAAAAAATTACGTGCCCGATCAACTACGGCGAAGTTCACGACTTTATTGACCAACTCTCCCAGAATAAAGTGTCAACACTGAGATCAGTAAAGGGCCCGGGTTTACGCCATGTATGCAATCTCCTTAAAACTCAAGGTTGCTGCTCTGGAAGCACGCCGCAGCATGCCCACCAACCGTCAAAGGTCAGTGGCATGAAGACAGCCCTTACTTCAATTCCGGCCATACCGTGGTTGGGTTGCAAAGCTTCGTACTTTTATCTTACCATGTTTTGCGCAAGTTGCACATTTCTTGGCAGTGTTCACTGCAGTATTTCTGAGAGAAAGGATGCATAAAAGCACTTCAAAATTCACGGACGTTTGAAACACTGTAATTTTTTTGCAATTCAACGCGCATATTCATATATAGAAAGTGCGTGTTGCTTTTGCAATAGTTGGACATGGAATTAGAAAAAAAACATAGATGGCTATAATTGGTGTCCATTTCATCTGCAACCTGTGTGGCGTTTGCCATTTTTTGTTGATTCCAACTGCGCAAAAAAAATGGCAGTTTTGTTTCCTTTTCGGCAAGTGAGTTTTTGAATGTTAGAAGGATTGGAATCGCTTCATTCGGTTCTGGCAGACTTTTGGGGGCATTGTTTTTTGGCGGGGTATTGCATATTTGCTTTTGCCAAGGATTCTGGACCTACTTGGATCTAGCCATGTTCAGACTAGTCTGGAAAACATGGTTTTTTTGTTTTTTGTTGGTTTTTGTTTTTTTGTGTTTTTTTGGTTTCTTTGGTTCCTTTTTTGTTTTTTGTTTTTTGTGTGTGGTTTCAACCATTATAAGCTGCATTTCCAGTAGAAAAGGTTTGTGCATGGACAACAACAAGATGCAACCCACGAACCCGAATGCAGTCACGCAGAACACTTTTGAGAAACAAATTATTTCAACAGTCTACATTTTTCCCCTGTTACCGTACCAGTGCACTGCAGACTGTTGAATGCGGAAGGCGGGGGAGTGCAAAGTGTGGAGTGCAGAGTCTAAAAAGTAGGGTCTGGAGTCTAAAATGTGGAGTGTGGAGTGTAAAGTGCGGAGCGTAAAGAGAGTGTAGCGTGTAAAGTGTAGAGTGTCGAGTGTGGAGTGTAGTGTGGAAGTGTGGAGTGTGGAGTGTAAAGTGTGGAGCGTAAGGTGTAGAGTGTGGAGTGTGAAATGTGGATATGGAGCGTAGAGTGTGGAGTGTGGAGGGTAAAGTGTAGAGTGTGGAGTGTAAAGTGTGGAGTGTAGACTGTAGAGTGTGGAGTGCGGGGTGTAGAGTGTAAAGTGCAAGCAAAGTGTGGAGTGTGGAGTGTGGAGTGTGGTGTGTATGCGTAGAGTGTAAAGTGTGAAGTGTAAAGTGTGGAGTGTAAAGTGTGAAGTTTCGAGTGTAGTGTATTGTGTAAAGTGTGGAATGTAAAGTGCGCAGTGTGAAGTGTAAAGTGTGGAGTGTGCAGTGTAGAGTGTGGAGTGTAGAGTGGGGTGTGTAGAGTGCGGAGTGTACAGTGTAGAGTGTAGAGTGTAAAGTGTGGGATGTTAAAGTGTGGAGTGTAAAGTGTAAAGTGCGGAGTGTGGAGTGTAGAGTGTGGAGTGTAGACTGTGGTGTGTAGTGTGGAGTGTGGAGTGTGGAGTGTAGACTGTGGAGTGTGGAGTGTGGAGTGTGGAGTGCAGAGTGTGGAGTGTAAAGTGTAGAGCGTAGAGTGTAGAGTGTGGAGTGTAAAGTGTGGACTGTAGAGTGTGGAGTGTAAAGTGCAGAGTGTAAAGTGTAAAGTGTGCAGTATAAAGTGCGGAGTGTACAGTGTGGAGTGAGGAGTGTAAAGTGTAAAGTGCGGAGTGTCAAGTGTAAAGTCTGGAGTGTAAAGTGTGGAGTATAGAGTGTGGAGTGTAGAGTGTGGAGTGTCAAGTGTAGAGTGTCGAGTGTGGAGTGTAAAGTGTAGAGTGTGGAGTGTGGAGTGTAAAGTGTAAAGTGCGGAGTGTCGTGTGTAGAGTGTGGAGTGTCAAGTGTAGAGTGTGGAGTGTGGAGTGTAAAGCTTAAAGTGTGGAGCGTCGTGTGTAGAGTGTGGAGTGTCAAGTGCAAAGTGTGGAGTGTGGAGAGTAAAGTGTAAAGTGTGGAGTGTAAAGTGTGGAGTGTAAAGTGTGGAGTGTAAAGTGTAGAGTGTGGAGTGTGCAGTGTAAAGTGTGGAGTCTAAAGTGTGGAGTGTAAAGTGGGGAGTATGGAGTGTAAGTGTAAAGTGTGGACTGTAGAGTGTGGAGTGTAAAGTGCAGAGTGTAAAGTGTAAAGTGTGCAGTATAAAGTGTGGAGTGTAAAGTGTAAAGTTTGGAGTGTAAAGTGTAAATTGTGAAGTGTGGAGTGTGAAGTGTAAAGTGCGGAGTGTAAAATGTTTAAATTGCCGAAGGAAGTTTAGAAGTCAAACTTCCGACAATATGGACACATGAAAAGCAGAGACGGGAAGAGTCAGAGAGAAGAGAAGGGTAGAAGAGAGAAGATCAGACAAAGGAAAGAGCCAGAAGAAAAAGCTCAGGTGCGCGAAAAGGTAAGAAAGTCGGGAAACACTGCGTTTTTTCAATGATTTGTGGTTCCGGAGTGGCGCGAAGCACATTTGCAAGTAAAAAAGCTAAAAACACCTCATGTTCGGACCACTCTTGGAAGTTGAGATGTCGAAAAAGTGCACGCCGTTGTGGCGCGAAGCACATTTCGATGTCAAAATGTACAAAACACACCATTCTCGGACCACTCTTGGAAGTTGAGATGTCGAAAAAGTGCACGCCGTTGTGGCGCGAAGCAAATTTCGAAGTCAAAATGTACAAAACACACAATTCTCGGACCACTTTTGGAAGTTGAGATGTCGAAAAAGTGCGCGCCGTTGTGGCGCGAAGCACATTTCGAAGTCAAAATGGACAAAACACACCATTCTTGGACCACTTTTGGAAGTTGAGATGTCGAGAAAGTGCACGCCGTTGTGGCGCAAAGAACATTTCGAAGTCAAAATGCACAAAACACACAATTCTCGGACCACTTTTGGAAGTTGAGATGTCGGAAAAGTGCGCGCCGTTGTGGCGCGAAGCACATTTCGAAGTCAAAATGGACAAAACACACCATTCTCGGACCACTTTTGGAAGTTGAGATGTCGAGAAAGTGCACGCCGTTGTGGCGCAAAGAACATTTCGAAGTCAAAATGTACAAAACACACACCAGGTCCGGACCACTTTTGGACGTTCAGATGTCGTTTCGCGTGGCAGGCGCAAGGGATTGTGCACCTTCTCAAAAGTGAGCAGAACGTGGGGGTTTTGTAGCATTTCCAAAAACGATGGCAGGCGTGGGACCTTTGAAGAGGATCTTCAAAGATGCACTTCGCGTGGCAGGCGCAGTACAAAAGACATGTTCATCAGAGATGTTAGGAGGTCAGGGCGCTGATTTCCTGAGAGGGGTTGCATTTTGGAGCATCAGATCTTCAGGTTTGCTAAGATGGTTTTGCGTGACAGGTGCAGCACTTCGTATGACCTGGCATCACTTTTTCGTGGCAGGTGCAGTACTTTAGACAGGTGGAGTGGAAAATTCGCAAAACGCATTGGTACGAGGCCGTCAGCGCTGCACTCAACTTTCCATTTTTGAAGGAAGTCTCGCAGGATTGCTTTGTTTTTGATGTTGTCAAGTTCAAAAATTGAAGAAGTCTCGCAGAATTGTTTCGTTTTTGACGTTGTCAAGTTCAAACAGGGAGGGCGTCTCATAGAATTGCTCCGTTTTTGATGCTGTCAAGTTCAAAACCTGAGGACGTCTCGCAGAATAGTTTCGTTTTCAAGCTTGCAGATAGACAGGTAGATAGGAAGACAGACAGACAGATGGAGAGATAGATAGATAGACAGACAGATAGATAGATAGATAGAAAGTTAGATAGACAGATGAGAGAGAGAGAGATAGATAGATAGATAGATAGATCGATCGATAGATAGATAGATAGATAAACAGATGAGATAGATTAGATAGATTAGATAGATTAGATAGATTAGATAGATTAGATTGATTAGATTGATTAGATTGATTAGATTGATTAGATAGATTAGATAGATTAGATAGATTAGATAGATAGATAGATTAGATAGATAGATAGATAGATAGGTAGATAGATAGATAGATAGAAAGTTAGATAGACAGATGAGAGAGAGAGAGAGATAGATAGATAGATAGATCGATCGATAGCTAGATAGATAGATAGATAGAGAGAGAGAGACAGCTAGATAGATAGATAGATAGATAGATTAGATAGATTAGATAGATTAGATAGATTAGATAGATTAGATAGATTAGATAGATTAGATAGATTAGATAGATTAGATAGATTAGATTAGATAGATATTAGATAGATTAGAAGATTAGATAGATTAGATAGATTAGATAGATTAGATAGATTAGATAGATTAGATAGATTAGATAGATTAGATAGATTAGATAGATTAGATAGATTAGATAGATTAGATAGATAAGATAGATAAGATAGATTAGATAGATTAGATAGATAGATTAGATAGATTAGATAGATTAGATAGATTAGATAGATAGATAGATAGATAGATAGATAGATGGATAGATGGATAGATAGATAGATAGAGATGCAGCTAGATAGACAGCTAGGTAGATAGATAGATAGATAGATTGAATGATTGATAGATAGATAGATACGTAGCTAGACAGATACATAGATAGATAGATAGATAGATCGATCGATCGATCGATCGATCCATCGATAGATTGATAGATCGATCGATCGATCGATAGATAGATAGGTAGATAGATAGAATAGATAGAATAGATAGAATAGATGGATAGAATAGATGGATGGATAGATAGATAGACAGATGGATGGATAGATAGATAGACAGATAGATAGATAGACAGATGGATGGATAGATAGATATAGACAGATGAGTGAGAGAGAGAGAGAGAGAGATAGATAGATAGATAGATAGATAGAATTGATAGATAGATAGATCGGTAGGTAGGTAGGTAGATAATCAGAGAAAGAGAGAGAAAGAGAGAGAAAGAGAGAGAAAGAGAGAGAAAGAGAGGAGACCTCAACCACCTTTCGATCCATCAGTGGCTTCGCTCTGCCATTCGTGATTTACAACAAGGAGGGGGGGGACGCGACATCAGGAGGGGCATAGGGCAGTGGTTGAGAAGCACCTTTACAACCTTCCGCAGGTGTCGGTTTTTTGCTAGTTTCCTCGCCTTTGCTCTGTGGGGTTCTGTCCTTTGTGGTGGGCCTTTTCGGCAGGGTTGCACTAGGGGCCTGTGGTGTGACGGGGTTGGTAGGGGTACAGTTAAATTTTTTATTACTAGCTGGCTCATAGCTCCAAATTTTGGCAACAACTAGCCGTGTTGTTGACGTAATCAGAGTACGGTGGTCAATCAGGGGTGGGACAAAGAGCATCAGCTGGCAGTCTTTGAATGGATAGATATGTATGGAGTGTAATTACAGTGTAGAGTGTGGAGTGTGAAGTGTGGAGTGTGGAGTGTAGAGTGTGGAGTGTAGAGTACGGACTGTAAAGTGTAAAGTGTAGAGTGTACAGTAGAGTGTAGAGTGTGGAATGCAAAGTGCGGAGTGTGAGCGTAGAGTGTGGAGCTTTGAGCACGCAATGCGACACGTCTGAGGTGCTGCGCCTGCCACGTAAAATGACGATGGAGGTCTCCAAAGTGCTGCACGTGCCACGAAAACTGCAGCTCACCTTCTGAAAATGACGCAACAGCATTGCGCCTGCCACAGAAACAATGCTCATCACATCTCAAAAAGTGCCACGCCTGCCACGGAATTTGCACCTTGTCGCCACTTAACGCAGCCCTGACAATGCGATTCGCAAAAACACGCAACACGACACGTCTAAAGTGCTGCGCCTGCCACGCAAAATGATGATGGACACGTCCAAAGTGCTGTGCCTGCCACGCGAAACGAAGCAACGCGACATGTGCAACCTCCAAAAGTGACCCGTTTTTCAGAACTTACCATAGGCACGGCCATCCGGCTCGCGCGGACGGTTGCGGACGGCTGCGGACGGTTGCGAACAGTTGCAAACATAAACGCAACGTCGAGCCAACACACCCTCAACCCCCAGACCCCCAGAATGAAACGGGAACCCTTGCTACGCATTCGGGAAAAAACAATACTACTTCAGACAATTTAATATATTTACAAAAATAAACCATAAATAATATGTACAAACAATTGGTAGTTTCGGCGCCGGCAACAAGCTTTTCTGATTTGATTCAACATGCGCACAACAACATTGCACATACATAAACAGCAGAATAGCTTTGCATTTTTGAAAAGCCTGTTTTGATGTCAAAATTGGTCTTTTGACGCATGATGAGTTTCCTGTTGTAGCGTTGAGCAAAAACGGGCCCTCTGTGCATGCCAAGCTTGTCGATACTGCCATCTCCAAGGCTCTCGGGGTTCAACATCAATTCCCACGTGGGTGCTTCCCAGAGGTGCACCAGCCCAGCTTTGAAGCGAGCTCGATGGCACCTTGACGGTTCAGCTTCAAAAGGCAGGGAGTCCAAGTTGAATTTTACACACCTTCAAAGTTTCCACGTCAAAGTCCGCAACTTCTACTTCCGCATCTTCTAGAGGGAATGCCACAAATGGACAGGCTCATTAACGTAGATGATGGAGGCAGTAAGTACTAGAATCCTTGGCACATCAGACGCACTGGAAAATGGTTTTGCCCTTTAGCCATACCAGCAGACTATGCACTTCAGATAGCCAAAACTTCCGCATACCACCCATCGCAGAGTATGATCGTCCATGGCTGCAAACTAAACAAACTAAACTATACAGAACTTCCAGGGTAGAAGGAGTCATATTGAACTCTCAATCAAAGAAGCAAAAGTTTGCAACCTTTTGGGGTAAGAACTAGGAAAAACCCACATGGATGTGGCGGGGAAGGTAAGAAACAAACCTGGTTGTACCGCTGACGACTTGGACGCTTGGACCACTTCGTCCACTTACGCTGTGAAACTCCTGGCCGTCCCATGTCTTTGCCTTGAGTTCAGAGTTGGAGGTGCTCGCAAAGCCACTGGTTCCTGTCAGATGGGCTAGGCACACAAAGTTTTTAAAGTGGAGGATGCTGGAAACTGTCGGGAACGGCACTCTCTGGATCTTGTTTTAAATAACAGTATAAATATATATATATATGACTGTAGATACATATTCATATACGGTATACGGTATACTTACGTATATTTAAATACATTTTATATACCACAACCACTACATATATAGATACATGTACTGAGCACAGACGGATATATACATAAACTAACAGTGCATAGCATGACACAAAATAGCATGGCACAATATTAGATAATAAAGCATTGCTCAATATTAGATAGCATTATACATTCAATAAATCGTGTATGTATATATATATATAGTACATGACATTACACGACAAGACACTACAATTAATTACGAGTATCTACATATATACAGCGATTCAGTCAATCGCTTCGCTTAGCCCTTTCTTGGCATGAAAACTCTTTCTTGAATGTCTCTCAAGCCCTGGAGCATCGTGGTTAATCACGTGACCCTTTCTTACTGGTCCTCCGGAAAGTGCATGCCTGAAGCTGCTCAGGGAAAACAACGCAAATTATCACTCTGAATTTCTCTCTCCCTTGCTGCCTGCAGTTGAACATCTTCAGCACTTGCACTTTGTGCCAAGGATGTCTTGCCAGTGCCTGCAGCATCGATAGGCAGAATGGCCGAGAGTGGCTCACAACAAATCAGTAGCATGGGCTGCTCAAGTGAATGTGTGTGGCAGCCAGTCATGCCATCCTTTGAGAAACGACCGACAAGGCCTGCACAACCCACCAATGCCACACTGAGCGCCATAAATGGCAACAATCCATGGCTGCAGTGATTGTGTCACGTGCAACACCGTATGTTTTCAGGAGTGAAGCTGAAAATCTGCATTTATGTTGTGTCACATGTGTGTCTGCGCGTCTGTATATACCCATAAAAATCCGAACCGATTTGAAATCGCAGGGGGCCTTGCTTGTGTGTGTAGTGCCTGTTTGAGCAAACCGTACAACCAAGTGGCAAGGAAGAGACATCAGTTTTGAACCTGTGTAGGTGCCGAAATAGCTTTGGGTTCGTTGCCAAGTTGTTTCTACTGTTTCAATCTCAGCCCTAGGGGGTTCCATGGTTTCTATGGTTGCAAGTCGCAACCTTGAGAACTCAAGTGGCTCAAGTGAAAGGTGGGCGCAATCTGGATGTCAGGCCCAAGGCAGAAAGCTCCTTCAAAATGTCAATAGCAAAAAGAGTGAGGACGGTCCTTCCCGTCGTTTTGCAATGTCTTTGATTCGAGCAAAAAAAGGTAAGGTACGGTAAAGGTCTTGGAGTGGCTGCTGCATGCAAGCTTCGCAGATGTTGAAGGACCAGATAACCCCACATGTTAAGCCTTCCGATTGTTATGAACGGAAGGTACATATTGGAATGATGAAAGAAGATAATGATCGGACAGAGAAAACGGCAATCGGAAACACGTCGGTTTGAAAGTATACGGAGGGTTCTCCATTTGACTGTCCTGGTAACAAAAGGGTGAAGGGGTGCACCACCCCCCCCTCCTTTCTCCTTGCTCATCCCTATTAAATTTGCGAGATCACGTTCTTCTGCTGGCCACCACCACCCTCCCTCCTTCTTGTCTTTCTTAAGTCTTAAGTTCCTTCTCAGCTCACCACCCCCGCTTCCTTTGATTAGTGTAAAGTGGAGTAACTGAGTAACACCCCCCCTTAATGTTTTTGTTTTGGACTCGACCCTACCAAGGCATAGCATGAGTACTGAGCACAGTTTGCATGCGCTGTCAAGGCTCAAGAAAGAGATTAGAGGTATACGGTATAGCTGTAGTCTAGGCACCGCACTGACTGGATATTGGCCGTGTGAGGAAAACCAAGGGTGGCAGCCTGGGAAGACGCTCACATGGGCACTGGGCCGGCTCTGGTGGCGCGCTTGGTCGCTGTTAGTCGCCCGGGGCGCCGCGGCACTGTGCGTGGCAGGCGTGGCACTTGGTGACATTGACGTTCCATTTGCGTGGCAGGCGTGGCACTTGGCGACATCTACCTGCGTTTGGCGTGGCAAGCGTGGCACTTGGGGCACTGGGCTGGCTCTGGTGGCGAGCTTGGCCGCCGTTAGTCGCCCAAGCGCCGCGGCACTTTGCGTGGCAGGCGTGGCAGGCGTGGCACTTGGTGACATTGACGTTCCATGTGCGTGGCAGGCGTGGCACTTGGCAACATCGATGTTCCATTTGCGTGACAGGCCTGGCCCTTGGCAACATCGACGTTCCATTTGCGTGCCACGTGGCACTTGGCGACATCTACCTGCGTTTGGCGTGGCAGGCGTGGCACTTGGGGCACTGGGCTGGCTCTGGTGGCGAGCTTGGCCGCCGTTAGTCGCCCAAGCGCCGCGGCACTTTGCGTGGCAGGCGTGGCACTTGGTGACATTGACGTTCCATGTGCGTGGCAGGCGTGGCACTTGGCAACATCGACGTTCATTTGCGTGGCAGGCGTGGCACTTGGCGACATCGACGTTCCATCTGCATGGCAAGCGTGGAACTACCTGCGTTTGGCATGGCAGGCGTGGCACTTGGGGCACTGGGCCGGCTCTGGTGGCGCGCTTGGTCGCCGTTAGTCGCCCGGGGCGCCGTGGCACTTCGCGTGGCACTTGCGTGGCAGGCGTGGCAGGCGTGGCTCTTGCTCAAATCCACCTTCGTTTTGCGTGGCAGGCGTGGCACTTGGCTCAGGCTGCGTCAAGTGGGAAGCCAGTTGTCACCAAATTGCATGCTGGGTTCCACTTTGGGCGCGTCGGCTTTGAAACAGCTGTTACTTGCTTGTTTGTCTTTGTCTATTCCTCAATTGTGTGCGGCTGGTTATTAGCTAAAGTGCAGCACGGTGCTCTCCAATCTTGATTGCGGCAGTGGTGCTTTGACCTTGCGTCGTTTAGTTTTACGTCTTTGTGCATATGTTCCTGTACCAAGCAGACCAACGTGATGTTGTCTGTCACCTCGTTGGCCGGGGGTGCGGGATGACGCGGTCGTGTGTGTTTGGGGCCAATGCTCGGTGCCCAACCGAGTATGACAGCAATGGCTATGGGCTAATGCGCCTTGCTGGGCACACACCGAAGCACTGGCCGGTCAGTTCACGTCCTTGCGACCGTCAAATGTCCCGCCCTGCTCTCCACCGCGCCCCTTGGGAGGCCGGCTTTCTCACACACAACTTTGGCACACGCAACTTTTGCACACACAACTCTTTTATACGCAACTTTCTTACACACAACTCGCTCACACTCATACACAACTATTTCACAACTTCCTCACACACAACTCTTGCACACACAACTGTTTCACCCGCATACATCACACATTTCTAACGCGCACACACACACCCCTCTTCCACATACAACTTTTTTTAACTTATCGGTCCACCACCACCTCCTTTGTCTTTCCTCCCTTCCCCGTCCCGCTTCAACTTTTGCTTCTAATTATTGGAAGAAGTTGACTTGTGGCGTTATCCGGTCCTTTAATTAAAGAATGAAAGAGTTAGATAGACAGAGAAACAAAGAAGGCAACAGATGGACACGGTTCAGACACGGCTTGGACACAGTTCGGACACGCGGAGACCCCGTAGAAGACCTCTCTAAGCCTATTCTGGGACCATGTTGCCCATGTACTGAGCCATATGTCCCGCCAAAAACTCGCGTTGCGAACACAAGCAAACATCACCTCGGGGTTCAGACCTGGCCTCATGCGACTCACGTGCTGGCATGCTTAACATGTAACGGCTAACACATAGTGTCCAGAGGCTCTACAGAGAGTCACCAAGCCGCGCCTGCCACGCGAGACAGCCGCGGCGTCAAGCGTCCAGAGGCTCTACAGAGAGTCACCAAGTGCCGCGCCTGCCACGCGAGACAGCCGCGTCGTCAAGCGTCCAGAGGCTCTACAGAGAGTCACCAAGTGCCGTGCCTGCCACGCGAGACAAACAAGTGAGAAAGAGAAGTGGTGAGAGAGACAAGAAGGGACAAGTTGAAGACAAGACGAGACAAGTTGATGAAGAGACAAGTTGATAGAGAGCCGTTGAGACAGACAAGTTGATACAGATTCATGTGATAGAGATAAGTGGATAGAGAGAGGAAGAAGACGGCGGGCGGCGGGCAGTCGGCGGAGCGCGGCGGATTGCCAGCAAAAAATTAGACCCCCATATAGTGATGTGGGGAACAAAAAGAGTAAGAGTGGCATGAAGATGTGTATAGATTGTCGCAGTTGAAGTAGTGCCTCTTTCCATGCAGTAACCGTGCCATCGCCGCATGCTGGACCACACCAACACCCGCACGAGCCACGCCTCATAGAAAGGTGGAAAGTAGCGGAAGAAACTAAAAGCTTCTTCAGAGATGTTCAAAGATGTTCAACGCATTCAAAAACTAGAAAGCGAATCGAATCAGCAACTCCTGCAACTCCTCCTCCTGGCCGAGTGACTAAAGATCACGAGACCACAAGTCAGAGTCACTTGAGACCTCTGCTCTTTTGCAGGTTTGCATCGTGACTTGCGGGAAAACGAAGCCAAGTGTTCCTGATAACTGGTATCTTCCTTAAGGTTTTCGAATTCTGGCCTTTGCCGTTCTTGCAATATCTTGCAATGTATTACTGTGGATCAGAGTAATAGCTGTCTCTCAGGCTCAGGACATTGTGGCAAGATTGAAATAACTCGGAAAAAAAACGGAAGCATGAGTCAATAGCCGTGACCCAACAACACCTCATATTCCCAACCCGTATTACAAGCTATACCCAACGTGTGGGAGTTTTTCATGTAACTCTAACGACCATTTGCTACTTAAACAACTTGGAAAAAACTCAGGCCGTGACTGGACTTTCTATTTGAACGGACTGTGTTGAAGGTCAATGAAAGGTCTGCATAAGTCATAGTCATTCCAGCAGACTAGACAACCAAGACTATGCTCTTTGCGATTAGGAAAATCTGTTCACTGCCAAGAGACGCCACAAGGGAAGTCTTCGAGTCAACCTCGGCAATCACTGACTGAGTACTAAAGCCCAACAGGCTTTAAATGCGTGCGCTAAAAAACACTCACAACACGAGTGAAGTCGCTTATTTTGCCGTCGTTTACTCTTTTTTGTGCCTGGAAATCCAACAGCATCGGAGCACTAGCCATGACTGACTTGACAACAAACAGATACAAACAGTGTATTCAGGTTTTTTTTGTCTGGATTAAAATTGTTGAGAAAGAAGAGCCAACTTGCAGAGTCACCATCGCAATGCCGACAGCTAGTACCAACTGCCCGCAGAAATCGCCCAAAGGCACCAGCAGTTGCACCAAACCTCAGTTTGTCTGACTGTTTCTGACTGTCTCTGGCAGTACAGGTGTATGTTTGGGGCTGTCACACACAGAAACTTGGATGCTCTCAAACTAGCCCCAACTTTCACTCGCAAACTAAGAGGATCTGCTTGCACTTAGTTGCACTCAACTGCGCAAACAATAGGAAGCTGGATGGAGCCTCTTCCGCCAAGAGCTTGGGATAATTACCGTACATCAAGGGGGTTCTGGGCCATTCTGGGCCACAGCCCCTGCCCAAGAGCTTACATACAAAAAGCCTAACCAAACTTTTTATCCAGCAACAAGGACCGTTGTATCAAGAGTTTTTCACTTCACAGCCTTTTCCGCACACCACATGCAAGATAAGTGCTGTGCCTGTCAAGAATTCTGGAGACAGAACTTATCCACATGGAGCTGGCCCCCTTCAAAAAGCTACTCTCGATTGCACCCATCACCGCTGGCTGCATATTTCCACAAATCAGAGACTGTTGTGTTGCACGCGCACATGTTGTGTGTTCACTGTGTATGTTGGCAGGCAGCGATTTAAAAGCTAAAGACAACGACATAGAGACAGCACGCTACTCTCTGGGACAGACCATTTTGGGCCTTCCATAGGTATTCTTCAAAACGTGGAAACCGGAAGGATCAGATTGCGCAATGCTGTTCCAGTTGCTTTTGCCACCAAGCCAACGGGGAACCCAGTATCAAAAGCCCATGCACCTGGTATCCTCGTTATGTAGAGGGCTCGAAAGTGTCAAAACACGGTGAGTTACAGCTACAAAGAAAACTGGGCTTCCAAACGATGCGACCACGTGTAGGCCATGCCCCACAACATTGGTGCAACAATCGCACCCAGTTGTGGAGAGGCAGCCACAAGGGAGTACCTGGACGCCAGTAGACACTTGTAATGCTTACGGCTTACGCTGTTCCCTTTCTAGGCGGCTCTCATTTTACAAGGCAATACAAATGCACACAGTAGAAAAAGACCTTCAGCCCAAATTCCAAGAATTTGCAAATAGGCCCAGCTTGAATGAATTTTCGGACTCTCAAAATGGTCAAATCCCTTTTGCTTTGTACTGAAAATGACTGAATCACCGGGGTCTTGTTCGTGGAGGCTCTTTGGGGACATAGCTTTCAGGTCAAGCTCATCTGCATCACTCTTGGTCCAAACTGTTTGAAGTGTGATATTCATGGTGCATGGCTGTGCAAGAATGCATCAAGTACAACTCCAAAAGTCAGCAAGATCTACTCTGTCCATTCAAAGACATTCGCTGCCTACAGAGACCCAGAATTGAGGCTTGACAAATCTTTTGAAAAGTAGAAACCCATCATATGGTCAGGCAGCACCTGCGCTGTCAAGACAATGCTTGGAACATCTCCTCCCATCTTTCTGCCAAGTTACAACAAAGGCGACATTCCCTGCACGTAAACATGACACAGGAACACTTGGCAGTGACAAGCTCACTACAGTAACCATGTAGTGCATCGCTAACTAAACATCAACTGTGGAGATTCTACTTTTTTCCATCTTCACTTCTTTGTGTTTGATCTGTTGACAGCTGCCTGAGCTTCCAGAAACGGCGCGGCTGGTGCCAGAGCATTCTTGCTGCTGTGAGATCCTGCAAGTCGATGTAGCGACAGCCATGTCTGAGACGTTTCCAGTCCGATCCCCTTCCGAGTTCTTTCAAGTCATTGCATCTGCATATGTATCTGTGTGTACAATATGTTCCCGGTTCCCGGTTCGGTAACCCCCCCCCCCAATGCTATGGTACCCCAAAATCTACCATTTGCATGCTATTTGCAGCATTTCGGCCTCCCATTTGCATGCAATTTGCAGCGTTTCAGAGCCACAACCTCCGACTTGCACCCTATTTGCAGCATTTGAAAGCCATATGCTACCTACATACGACCTACATGCCGTCCATAGTATCTATGTGTTTCTTTTCTACCTGGTATACCTATATACAAGCCAAGCCATAGTGTGTCTATTTATATATATATATATACATACTACTCATCGGTTGCCTATGATTTGTACATTATCTGTGTTCTATCCATATATAGTTATATATACACATAGAGAGCGAGAGAGAGAGAGAGAGAGATAGAACCTGTGTACTACTTATAGCGTAGCTATAAGACACGGATAATATTATATATATATATTCTACATATATACACTATTATCTGTATTCATATCCAACATCGAAAACCACCAGACCCCACAACCCCCCTACCACACGGGGGAGGAGGCAACCACATACACTATCTATTTCATCGTACTGATATTGTCCTAGCTAAAAAGAATTAAAAAGATATATAGCAACGACCCGCAATACATATACATATACATATATATATATAGATATATATATATATGTATATGATTATATATGTTTCATGTGTATTACTACAACCGTACATACGTACAATATATTATACCAATAACCTGTGTACTACATATAAAATACATACATGCTAACTCTAGTTTATATATCTGATCTATGTCTATGAGATATATAATATACATGTATAAGCCACCTAGTTACTACTGATCTGGCGCTAATATCCACCACTTATCGCTTTTTCCTTCTACTTCATATTCAACCTCCCCACCCCGCCCCACCCCGCCCCACCCCGCCCCACCCCACCCACACCACAGGGGAGGGGGTACCATCCACAGACCATGGGTGGGGTGGGCGGGGGGGGGACCCAGAACCTGGAACATATATATATATACACACACGTATGTTTAAGTTTGTACAAGTTCTTCCAGTTCAGGGTCCTAGGCCAATGAGGAGCACCAAAAGTACAGAACGGATCGCTGGGCCTGCAAGCCACACTGAAAGATTCTTCTGTTGAACACATGACCTGCCGTGCGACTTGCGCATGCCTTGCTACCTGCCACACCAAATGCCACACTTGGGACAAGCCTACTAGTTGAATGAATAGGTTGACAAACCACAAGGCACGAGCTGCGATGTTGCACTATGTAAACAGTATAACTCAGACACCTTGGAAGGAGCCGAAACAAATGCAAAAAGAACGCTTTAACACATAGCTTTTGCCCATGAAATTGAGCAAATTCTCCCTGCGCCTGTGGGCCAACGCGAAGAAGAACTCCCGCGGGGTAGAGCATCTTCCGAATCCGAATCATTCCAGAAGCGCATGGGGCAAATTGCCCAAATTGCCCTGTCTAGCCGAGCCTAATGTAGTAGCAAGTGTCTTGTGTTTGAGACTAATAGTTTTGACTGGAAGCGGTCAAAAGCCTTGATTGATTTGACGCCAGCATCTGGAAAACAACTTATGTTTTTCATCCATCTAGCTTGTACATTGACCGGTAACCCGATGCACTCAAGAGAATGCCCTACCTATTCCAGTGGAATCGCATGGCTATTTATATAGTTAATTTAGATTATTTAGTTCATGTGGTTTATTTAGTTTATTTAGTTTATTTGGTTTATTTAGCTTATTTAGTTTATCTACGTCCATCCATCGATGATTTTGCACTGCAAGTTGTGGAGCAGCTTCCATTGGGCATCACTTTGGACTCCTTGGGAGAACTATGTTTCAAAGAGCTGCGACAAGAGCCATACATTGGGAACTTGTTCGTTTTGCTTAAACACCTATCGTATGACCTATGACTAAGTCCCCAATTGCTGGTTCCAACAGATTGGATTCTGCTCCAAAAAGAAAGCACTCAAATACAGGTAGGCTTCACTAGTACGACAACTTCTTGTGTTGCTTTGAAGAGAAGTTGTTGTTTGGCAAACTGTTAGAAGCATGAAGCTCAACAGCTGTAGGAAAAACAACACACCCAAGCTTGATGCCCTGCGCTGCAAAGGCGCAAGGCGGCACCAATCCTGCAACTCGAAGCATGGCCGTCGCTTCAAGAATTGAGACCTATGACTATGGCATCCTATGACCTGCCACGCTGTTTCGATTCTGTGACAGGCATATAGGGGAGAAATGATGTTTTTTTCAATGAACGGCTGGATCACGTCAAAGCAATGTCACAGGTGTTTCTCCAGACTTGGCTTGTTATTTGGACTGGTCAACAACTTTCAAATGCTTTGATCCCTCTCCTTAAGCAATGCAAGGACCTCATCGTCACTAGCATCCTATTGCAACAGGTGCAAGATTCTTCACGTGGCAACAAACCCGGATTTCAACCCAAGCTCATGATGCTTCGAGTGTAAAAAGCTTCGGACAAGTTTAAAGCTTATAGACCTGTTTTTAGGAGACTTCGACAGGTGCGCACCTATTGAGGTAAAGTTCTGCATAATAAGCACAAATGCGGACTTGTCAGGCCTTCTGCAAAAGCAGGGCAGAGAAAAGCGAAAATGCTGACGAGAGGCCAGCACTATCCAGCCTAGACAACTCATATATAACTTAACCAGCACATAGTGTGACCATGTTGTGAAATTTGATGAACTTTGTAGATGTCTCAAATGTCTCAAATGTTTCAAATGTTTCAAAACACTCAACACTCTCAACTCAAGGAGTAGTTTTGTAGTTTGTGCAACGGTCCCGAGGTGACGCAGTCCAATCTCCATCGTGGGAAGACAGGCACCACTGGTGCTGGAGAGCTTGGCACCAGTTCAGGGAGCTGAGAGACAGTGCCCCAAGCGATGAAGGAGGGCACTCCCTGGCCTCGCTTCGAAAGCTTCGAGAACTTCGAATTTATCGAAGTTTACCAAACACACGAAATCCGATAAGAAATCAAAATTGAATGAGGTCATTTGGAGGGCAACCCCTGGTTTTGAGTCACTCGGAGTCAGCTGTTTTTTCGGTTTTGTTTCGGCTGTAGCAGGTTGTTTTAATTTTACATAACACCCCCAAAATGCAAGTGCCGCACAACTGCAAGGATTCTTACCGACGAGCGAGCAAATCAATGTCACAAAACACATCTTTCCGGCTTCAGGTTCTATGATGTTCTATGCTCCCCAAGCAAAACTCTGACTATGCTCTCCAAGCAAAACTCTGACTTTCCTGTGCACATGTCCAATTGGACCAACTGAGTGCTACAGGCCTCGTCTTGGGTGTCCATGCTGTTGATTGACCCTGGCAGAACAACGATCTGAAGTTTTTACAAAATCAAGTTTCCCGGAAACTCAGTTGAAAACTTTGGAACCCAGTCATTATGACCCAGTCATTATGACTTCTGTCTGAGACTTGCTAAAGCCATCTAAGAAGGATAGGGAAATTCAGTTCGCTTCTTTCCCCAAAAACTCGCACAGTTGGAGTACAAACGCTCCGGATTGATCGCAAGACTGTCAATGTCAAGGAGTCCAAGTAGATTTCAACAATCCAAGGCATACTTTGGAACATACCACGTGTTTTCCACTTGCCTATTTCCATATATGGTAGCTGCCGCCAACTGCAAGTGTCCCAAAGCAAGTTTTCCCCAGTATCCCAGCTTGGAGAAAGACTCCCAACTTCCCATCTGACAAATCCCTCACTCTTAATAGTCTTCAAACAACGTTGGGATGGGCACAAAGATTGCGAAAACAACCGATAGACTGTAGCAGACTCTTCAATAGACTGTTCGGACAACCACTCTATATACTGTATAATGTATATTATATATGTATATACATTATATACATATATAATGTTGTAGATTATAATAAAACATAATATAACCCACTTGTTTACAAAATCTTTAATATATAGTACACCAGTAGTGCTGCACAAGGCGGTGGCGGAAGTTTCAAAAATAGGAAGCCTATACGAGAGGTTGATTGTTGTGAATCACTGAGCGGTTGCAATGTTTGCAGTGGTCACCTCACCACAACTGCTGGATGTAGCGTGGTGTAGTGCAGTTGTAGTTGTAGTTGTAGTGTAGTGGAGTTGTAGCTGTAATGCTGTGTGATAAGTGTAGTCTACTTGCAGTTGCAGTTGTAGTTGTGGTGTGGTGTAATTAGTGTAGTGTGTTGTAGTGCAATGTAGTGTTGTGTACTGTAGTGTTGTGTACTGTAGTGTCGTATAGTGTAGTGTAGTGTAGCCTAGTGTAGTGTAGTGTAGCCTAGTGTAGTGTAGTGTAAGGTAATGTAGTTGTAGTTGTAGTGTGGTGTGGTGTAATTAGTGTAGCGTCCTGTAGTGCAATTTAGTGGTAGCTGCACTTGTAGTTGCAGTTGTAGCTGTAGCGTAATGTAATGTAATTAGTGTAGTGACGTGTAGCGTTGTGTAATGTAGTGTAGCTGTAGCTGCACTCGTATTTGTAGTTGTAGTGTACTGCAGTGTAAGTAGTGCAGTGTAGTGCAATGTGGTGTAGTTGATATTATTGTTGTTGTAGCTATGGTAGTAGCTGTTGTAATGTAATGTAATGTAATGTAATGCAATGCAATGTAATGCAATGCAATGCAATGTAATGTGATGTAATTTGTGTAGTGTAGCGTAATGAGATGTAATTAGTGTAGTGTAGTGTAATTAGTTTAGTGTAATGTAGCGTAGGTTATTTGTGCTTGTAGTTGTAGCAGTCGTGTAGTGTAGTGATAGTTGTAGTTGTAGTTGTCTATCTATCTATCTGTCTATCTGCAACCTGCAAGCTTGAAAACGAGGCTATTCTGCTAGGTTTCCTCCATTTTCGAACTTGACAACATCAGAAGAGCAGCAAGTCTGCGAGACTTACTGAAAATGTTGAAGTTGGCAACATCAAAAACGAAGCAATTCTGCGAGATGTCTTCAAAAAGGGAAAGTTGAGTGCAGGGCTGACGGCCTCGTACCTTGCGTTTTTCCACTCCTCCTGTCTAAAGTACTGCAGCTGCCACGAAAAAGGGGTGCATATTTTTTTTGATGTTTTTTTTTGTTTTTTTTTGATTTTTTTGTTTTTTTTTGTTTTTTGGTCTGGTGCAGTTTTCCTTGTGTTTTGCTACATTTTGGAGCTACAATCTGTGATTTGCTGCGTTTTGGACTAAAATTTATTTTTTGCGCAGTTCATCGATTTTTCCATGGTTTCACTCGATTTTTCCATTTCACTCGATTTTTCTATGGTTTTACTTGATTTTTCTTTTGTTTTTCTTGATTTTTCCATCATTTCACCCGATTTTTCCATTGTTTTTCTCGATTTTTCCATGGTTTTACTCGATTGTTCCATGGTTTCACTCGATTTTTCTATGGTTGTACTTGAGTTTTCCATGTTTTTACTCGATTTTTCCATGGTTTCACTCGATTTTGCCACTTCACTCGATTTTTCTATGGTTTTACTTGGTTTTTCCATGTTTTGTCTCGGCTTTCCATGGTTTCACTCGGTTTTTCCATCTCATTCGATTTTTCCATTTCACTCGATTTTTCCATGGTTTTACCTGTTGTTTCCATGGTTTTACTCAATGGTTCCATGGTTTTTACTTGTTTTTTCCAGTTCATTTGATTTTTCCATTGTTTCTCCCGATTTTTCCATGGTTGTACTCGATTTTTCCATTGGTTCCATTGTTTTATTGTTGTCTTATTCGATTTTTCCCATGGTTTTACTCAGTTTTTCCATGGTTTCACTCAATTTTCCATGGTTTCACTCGGTTTTTCATGGTTTCGATCGGAATTTCCAATCATCACATATTGTATATATATACATATATATATATATACAGGGCACCCGCAGCTTGGGTCTGACGTTTGGCGCTGACGCTGACGACGCATTGTGACGACACATTGGCGATGACCCCGGCCCGCCTGACGACGCATTGTGACGACACATTCCCTGACGACGCATTGCCCCCTGACGACACATTACCCCCTGACGACGCATTGTGACGACACATTCCCTGACGACGCATTGCCCCTTGACAACGCATTACCCCCTGACGACGCAGGCATTGTGACGACACATTCCCTGACGACGCATTGCCCCCTGACGACGCATTATCCCCTGACGACGCATTGCCCCCTGAACGACCCATTACCCCCTGACGATACGCATTGTGACGACACATTCCCTGACGCTCTTTGCCCCAATGACTACGCCATTACCACCCTGACGACGTTGGTGACAACGCATTCCCTGACGACGGCATTGCAAAAAACCCCGACGACGCAGTAACCCCCTGACGACCGCATTGTGACGGACACATTCCCTGACGACGCATTGCCCGCCTGACGAACTCATTACCTACCCCCTGACGACGCATTACGACACATTCCCTGACGACGCATTGCCCCCTGACGACGCATT